TCATTATTAATGTCTTGTAATATTTGCAGCTTGAGTGTTTCCTCAGGCGAATCTTTAACAAGCTGTTTCAAAAGCATATGCCACTCATTAACTAGTTTACTGAAATTTCTCTTTAGAAATATCTCAAGATCCGTTCCAACCACTAAATCGATTTCACTTGAATTCCAAAAATATGGATTATTCAAATTTTTAGGTAAAATTTTGAAATACTCCTTGAAAGTATTTTTTTCAAGCGAGGTATCAAATGCTAATTTTGATATTAATAAGATTGTTATTTCATTATTACTAAAGGAAGTGTCTAATTCTATATTAATCTTTGGCAAATAATGTTCTTTTAAATGAGGTCCAATAACAATATTTTTGGGCACCTTAATCAACTCTTCACCACTCAGGAAATCATTGATGATGGCTGTGAATCCTTTTTGCTTTTGATATTGGAAGTCTATTCTGGGATCTAAAAATGCACCCTTTTCTCTAGCCCAAGATAAAAAATTTCCTAAGCCCCGTTCTAGCATTCTTGAAATCCTCTTCCCAGCGAAGGAAAATAATTCTTTGAACTCTTGATCCTGTTCTTACTTCGAACTCAATCGTATTCTATGTTCAATGAAAAAATGAAGCTCGAAATGAATTAGTGTACAACACAGCTCAAGAGAAAAATTTTAATTGAATCTTGTAAATCCGAGATTCTTTGTAAGTTTAACGAAAAAATACTTGCTTGACTAATTACTATCTAGTAATACTATATAAAAGAAGAATGGGATAGAAATAGTATTGTAATATCGAACTGATATGAGAGAAATTTCAAGACTGTGTTTATCATTTAGAAATTCTTCAATTAATAGAAGCGGCATTTGCTTGGAACAACATAAGAATAACTTAATTTGTCTAGGATAATATGCTTGAGTACATCATGATCCTTCTAATGCTACTACGCAAATTTAAGAAATGATTCCCCGATTACTATTGATAGTGATAAAAAGTGCCTTTAAATGATGGTTATTAAGTTCAGATTCGCATTGTTTTAAGTAATGAATATTTAAAATTCTCAAGATATTGGAAAGAAGTTGATATTATAAAATTATTATTCAACATAATGACTAGTATTGAATCCTTAAAGCTTATTTATAAATGGATTACTCATTTAGGTTTATTATTCGCTTAAAGCTGCTAATATCTCATACACTCCGTAAGCACCAGGATCTGGTGGGAATTCTGTTTTCTCTGACACACCTCCTACGTATGTAGCACGGCCTAATTTTGGTCGAAGCTTTCTAGTTCCTTCTGCTGCATTCCTTGCCACTTCAACGGCAGTATGAATATTCTTGGATTCAGCAAATGACCTGCAAAATGGAATTAAGACATCCATAACAGTTCTATGACCTTCTCTTGCTTTTGTAAACTCTGCTAAAGTATTAATCCCATGATCCAAAGCGACAGAAATAATATCATTATTATCACCGACACTATCATTAAGGTTGATTTCGAGCTTATTGATGAAGGCTTTCATGAAAATGAATAAAATTGCACCAAGCGTCCCACCCATATCATCTTTTAGGACCTTAAGAATGGCATGAAGAACAATCATCATCGACCCATTTTGTGCAATGCCATCATCTAATAATTTAATAATGGCTTTTGCACCAGTTTCTAAGGTCGTTCCACAATCTCCATCACCCATCTTAGTATCCCAGTCAGTTATTTCAGGTTCTTTATCAATTATATTCTGAGCTGCTTTACGAACAATTCTTTCAAGAACAGACGGATCATATGTAATATCGCGCTCAAGATCTATACTTTCATCAATTTCTTCATAACCTTGGAAATTTTTGATTATTCTACTTTCAGGATTTAAAATTTGAGACGAGGTATAGTGGCTCTTTGGAAAGTTGGTTGCATCTGTTGGAGCATCGAAGAGATCAAAAATATCTTGTTCAGTGAAATCTTGATTAGCAGCTTTTGTAACATTGAACAAGGAGATTGTAAAAATTGGAGCATTGATAGATGTAATATAAGACCCAGAGTATACTCTAGCAGGCTTTATGTTATACAAATCAGCAAGGTTTTTTATAGCACAATATAGCAAAGCCTTTTCTTCTATAACAGGTAAACCACCGAGATTATTGAATAGTAAGATGAATAGATCATTATCATCATAGTCTAAAAAGCCTCTTTCTTTGTCATTTTTATCAAGAATTAATTTTAATAAATCAGGCATAAGTTCTTCATTGGAAGGTATATTCTTTGTTTTCATAACACCAGGTTCATTGTGTATACCAAGGCCAATTTCAATTTGATTTTCTTCTAATTTACCATAGTCCGCATCATTTGCATGCCCAGGAATATGCGTATGGTCTAATCCAGCATTAACAGAAGCAATACACTTGTTAGCAGACTTACCTAAATTGTAAATTTCGTCGATATTATGACCTTTTTCACTAGCGGCACCCAAAATCTTCATAATAAAGATACAACCGGCCAATGTTCGACGCCCGACAAGTTTTCCAGTGGTCCTGCTGACAGCCACATCATCAGTAGTGCGAAGTAATCTGATTTTTGATTCACCAAACTTTGAAATAAGCTCTTGAGCCGCCATACCAAAATAAAGATTATCCCCCGTATAGTTTGTAATAAGAAATATAGTGCCAGCCTCTGAATGGGTGGCCTTTTCAGCAGATTTGATGTTTTTATAGTTTGGGCTTGCAAAAATATCACCCTGAGCTGATGCAGTTAACATTCCTGAACCAACAAAACCAATCCATCCTGGTTCATGACCTGAACCACCTCCACTAATCAATGTGACCTTTTTTGGATTATGCTTATTGTTGAAAATTACTTTCTCCTTCTCTAAAAGAGACAAGCTATCATTTTCATAAACATAAGCTTTTAAACAGTGATTAACAAGATTGTTTGAATCCTTTGGAAGAAAATGCTTTGGCATTTCTGTATTCTTATAACCTTATGGTTTTTGTTTTTTTTAGAATAAAGGTGGATATTTCAATGCAATATATATTTCAATGCAATATATATTGCATTGAGCTCAATTCAAAACATACAATTACTTACTATATGGGCTTAAAGTTGGACAGATAATCGGAAAGATGTGTAAAATGTTCTAATGTATATAAGTGATTCTTTGGTTGAAATATCGGAATAAAGTTTTGGACCTCACTTTTGGATATGACCCCACAAATAATTATTCCGAGTTTAAGTATATATTGAAATAAGCTCGAATTTAATCATTGCTTATGCTGAAAAAAGCCAAAATATATGAATATTTCCAATCCATTCATAATTCCATTATATTAAACTCTTGTGTTAATTAGTATCTTCATCCAAAATGGGACAAAAAATTAGAATTGTTGTAGGTTGTGATCAAGCAGGCTACGAATATAAGGAAGCAATCAAAAAAGACCTTCAAAACAATCCCCTTGTTAAAAGCGTTAAAGATATTGGGGTTCCAAGTAATACTGATGCTACATCCTACCCTCTTATTGGTATAAAAGCTGGTGAGATGATTCAGGCTGATGAAGCTGATCGTGCTATTCTAATTTGCGGGACAGGTCTAGGGGTTGCTATTTCAGCCAATAAGGTTTCAGGAATTAGAGCAGTTACAGCTCATGATAGTTTTAGTGTGGAGCGTAGTATTCTTTCTAATAATTGTCAAGTGTTGTGTATGGGTCAAAGGGTCGTTGGTTTAGAACTTGCTAAGAGACTAGCATCTGAATGGTTAACTTACATATTTGATGAAGGTAGTGGATCTGCTGCCAAGGTTAAGGCCCTTGTTGATTATGAGAATAAATCTTCACAAGTTCCCGTTGCATAATATTTAGAATTAGTCTACATATTTACATTTGAATTAAATGAATTATTCTTCGTTAAGTAAAATTAAATCAGTTCCTAAAGGTATAAATTTTATATCAAAAGTTTTATGGTCTCAAAGGCTTATATTATTCTCGATCATCATAAAACTGACGCTAATCAATAATTCTTACATTTTGTTATAGTAAATGAAAGATATGCATTCATTCGGCTCCTATAAAAAATACGCGATAATTTTTTGCAACCGTTCTTTGCGAAATTAACACTCTCAATCGTCCTTAATCATAACTTTAATAGTAGGTACCTTTTGATCAACAACACACTCTAATGCTTTAGGTGCATCTTCTAATGAGAAAGAATGAGTCACAAATTTATCAACATTAATTTTACCAGAACTAATTAAATTAATCACAGCAGGCCAGGTATCTGTATATCTGTTAATGAACCTAACATCAACTTCACCTAGGGATAAGGGCATAAACGGAAAACCATCTAACTCATTTTTTCCCGAAACACCCAATATTGTTAAAACACCATTTCTTCTAACTACGTAGCAACATGTATTAATGGAAGAAGCAAACCCAGTACACTCTAAAACAACCGGGGGCATAACATATTCAGTATTTCCAAACATTGCTCGAATATTCATAGCATTCTCTTTCGGGGATATAGTGGTATTGTTTTTGTATGTCATAACAGAAGGGACTAATTTTTTAGCAAACTCCAACCTTTCATCAGAGATATCAGATATAACTATAGGATAAGCACCTGATACGTTGGCTAGTAATAAGGTAGCTAATCCAATTGGTCCGCACCCAGCAATCATACAAGGGTTTCCAGGTTTCAAACCTCCAGCCTTTCTAACACCATGGAAAGCAACAGAAACAACTTCCGCCAATGCACCTTGCTCGTACGACATATTATCTGGCAATTTATGAACAAAGTTTGGATTGGTACATAAATACCTTTGCATAGAGCCATTAGTAGGTGGAACTCCTAAGAAGGCCACATCCTCACACAAATTATAATGACCATTTAAACATAAGTAGCATTTTCCACATGGGACTTGTGGTTCTATAGCAACTCTGTCGCCAACCTTAATATCACTTGTAACCTCTCTACCTACCTCAATAATCTTTCCAGCTGTTTCATGGCCCAAAACTAAATTTTCGGTAACAACCAAATCACCGATACCTCCTTCTTTCCAAAGATGAATGTCTGATCCGCAAATACCCGTACATTTGATGTGTACCTTAACTTGATTAGGTTGACATTCCGGGATTGGAGCATTACCTGCTATAAGCTTATGATCCGGTGTAACAATTAAACAAGGGTTTGAAACTGGGAGAGCCTCGCAATCTGAGCTTTTTAAAACCGGAGCCATTATATTTCTATCTGTAGTTGACGATGAATTCTAAGAAGGATGCTTAGTATATACCATAATATATATATTCATAGTACTAGCAAAGTCTTCTTTATGTTAGTACCGCCTTAAAGACGGGTCATTTTTCGGTGGGGTTTATTAGAAGACTAGTGATCTCCTAATCCTTGATTTTACATGGCAAAGCGAATGTGTGATAATTTTCGCAACTATTTTTGCGGAATTTATTTCGGTCTGGGGAAAATAAAGTTTTCCCCATTAAATTATGATTTCTGCAATCTTAATAATATTTCTCGCCAGAATTATTTACACATAAATGATGACTTCTCCATACTAGAGTATTTGTTCCACTAATTGTACCGCAAAAATTCTAGTTAATTTCTGATACGGCTTTGTGAAGTTTTTCCACGAAATATACGCTCACAGGTTTAGCTCCTCTGACCGTTTGGTTTTCTGGCTATCTGAGTTCAAATGACTTTACTAATGAATGGCGAGGAATTTAATAAATAATGTAACAAAGTATGTATTAATAGAATTGAAAGGTAAGCTTTTCAGATATATAGAACAATAATAAGCTATCTATACACACAAATGAAGGTAAGTAGACTACAAAACCTCTGCATCTTCGCCATTTTGTTTTATACTTGAAGTAGCAGAAGCATGTTCAAAATGACTCGTAGTAGGGCCTTTTTCAGGATCACGCACACCAGCGTGCATAAATGGTAAGTCCTTTGCTACTTGAACAGCCTTCCATGGTTGCATAACTGGAGTTTGGTTAAAAATGACATCCATTTCTTCCAAACTTCTACCTGCAGTTTCAGGATATAAGAAGTAAACAGTTGGTACCATTAACAAATTAATGGCAGCAAAAATAGTGTAAGTGTAAGGGCCAATACTACTGAACGCAACTGGGGTTATCATTACCACCATAAAATTAAATGCCCAGTTAGTTGCAGTAGATATAGCGGCACCAGGTGCTCTAATTTGTAAGGGCAATAATTCTGGAGGAAGGAGCCATGTAACCCCTAAATACGACATACCAAAACAAGTGTTAAACAAAAAGAGGAACACTGCCGCGGCAATACCAGCAGAAGTGCCAGCATGCGTATCCTTGGCTTCATCAGCCTTCCAGTTTGTGCCAGTCAAAATTGCCATACAGAAAGATTGACCTAAAGCACCATAAATCATTAAATTTCTTCTCCCAAACCTTTCTATAGTATAGAACGCTAACAATGACGCTAAAAAATATTCAGTACCATTACAAGCAGCCAAAATTCTTGATTGTAATGGGTCCATTCCAATGTAGTTTTCGAAAATTGTTCCTGCATAGTACGTAATAAGGTTAATACCAGTAATTTGCTGCATCATTTGAGAACAAGCAGCAAGAACAGTTCTATGGAAATTCCTGGCTTCTCCTTGTTTCAACAAGTCTTTCATATTAAAATTTTCAGCACCTTGGCTAATTTCAAGATCGATAGCTTGTTGGATTTCGGTGATTTGATCATTAACTAAAGGATCATTTTCTGGTAAATCATACAAAGCCGAAAAAACGATCCTGGCTTCTTTTTGCCTTTTCCTCTTTAATAGCCATCTTGGTGATTCTGGAAACTTTAAAATTAATGGAAGAATAATTATAGGGAAAATACATTGAAATGCAACAGGAAATCTCCAACTGACTTGATTAATCGTGTCCCATCCATCAAGGAAGTAAAATGCAAAATCAACCCAGTAACTTATCGTAATACCTAAAGCAATAAGAGATCCTTCCATCATGATTAATTTACCTCTCATCTCAGGTTTTGCAACTTCTGCTTGCCAAACAGGAACTGTAGCCGTAATGAAACCATTACCTAGCCCAGTTATAATTCTTGCAACAATCAAATGTGCTAATGTATACGCACAAGACTGCAATGCACCACCCACCATCATAATAGTAGCACCAAGAAAAATTGTTTTCAAACGGCCTAACTTGTCTCCCAAATAAATGGTTGATAAGGCAGAAAACATACAACCGATTTCGTACAAAGCAATCGCTGCCCCTTGAAGTGTTGCATCACCATCTCCTTTAGTATCGATAGAAGGGAATGTCTTACGAAATGATTTCAAAGTCAATAAAGAACCCATAACTCCTTGGTCATACCCAAAAAGTAAGAATCCAAGTCCAGCAATACAAGAAACACAAAAGTTCAACCTATTACCTCTCATTCCTAAAAAGGAATGAGTCTCAGAACTTGGTTCATTCTCTTTATGCTCGACGCTATTTGTCTTTGAAAGACTTGATGTCGACATGTTAAATTGTGTTCTCTAAGTGAAGCTGTAGAAATGATAGATATATCTAGCTGAATCAACAACCAAAACATGAGATTTCGTTTCTTATTTATATTCATATTGTTTTTGTTCGGCTCTAGTGTTTCATTCTATTTTTTCACCTTGGGGCCCCCCCCACTTTTGTCTATTTAGGTCTTGCATTACATCATAAGCAAGAGGTTTATGCTGCGAAGCAGCCTCTATACAGTCTCTATATATAGAGTGGAAATTTTCGGATTGTTAAAATGTTAAAATTCGTGTAATGAATAGCAATCAAATTTCCCCATTTAGGTCAAAAGCGCTTAACAATCTACTTTTGTGCTCAACAAAGAAGGCATATTCACGCGTGAGGAAAACATTACCCCAGACTTAGTTATGAGATAGGTGTCGGAAGAATAAACGGAATAAATTGACACCTGAGAGTTTAGATTCATTTTACATATTAAAAGCTTATTTGGCAATAGAAATATATGAGAGGCTTTAACGGCACCGTTTGATAATTAGTTTACAAACTATAACCAGCACAAAAAATATTTAGTATAACAAGTAAATTTTTTAGCAAAGCCTGCAGGGCTAAAAGGTCTAAAATAAGAACGCAAAAATTTAGTAGCAGTATTTCAACACGGTCCAAAGTGCACTAGTGTAAAATAAGGTCTAAGAAACATCCATGGAAAGAGGGACAGCACCTTTGAAGTGACCAAAAGCGGCCTTTTAGTTAAGCGTTTCAACTTGCATTCAGATTTCAATAAGAGAGGTGTAGCAATGCAAGTTAATGCGGGTGTATGAGAAGCTGGAAATATCCGGCGGAAATATCAACGAAATTTATGTGCTTATTCCATTCAGACCACAGTAATACTTACATATATTGTACCTAAAAAAATACAATATCGTTAATAAACTACACTGCTCTTTTCTCCAATAGTATTACAGATTAGCCAGGGTGTTCATGCGTATTCCTGAGCATTCTCAAATTGCCGCATTTCCAGACGCATAAATAACCTCGTCTTAGTGATATCAAGAAATTATTAGCAACGGCAAACATTTTAGTAATTGTTTCATTAACAAAAAGAATAAGTAGTATGCCTGTGTAATTAAATGCAACAGATGGAATGGTGAGTTTTCTTGAATATTGGTATGGGTTAAGATATATGCCTTTTGCATTTTTATTCGATTTTGCAAATTTTTACAAGAAATTCTAAAAAACCATATTTTCGGAAACCCAGATAATAGAAGTATTAGAGAATACAATTTGATACGTAATATTCCTTTGTATATTCATAATTTGTACAGCTACTAGATTTCATAAGCTACTGGAGCTAAAAGCTCCAAGATTCATATTAATGATCTCATATAACTATACACTATACACTAATCAAATTCTTTACTCAAGATATCACCTTTCCACCATTTAAATCCGAGTCCGTAGCCCCATGGATCAGTAATATATCTAGTAGGGTTCTCAACACCAATTTGATATAATTTATCTAATTCATCCTTGGTTAATTGAGGCAACCTGACATTTGTCTTAATTCTTTCAAGGTTTGATGATCTGGGTAAAGTGATTCTGCCTTGGAGTATATGATAAGCATTAGCAATCTCGTTTACACTGACCCCATACTTTTCTGCTAATTCATTAATGTACGGAAGTTTAAGCACAGGTGCTCCTGTACTACCAACAGGACTATATGCTTCAATCAAAATCTTATGCTTAGCACAGAAGTCAACTAAGTCTTGCTGGGGTAATTGAGGATGATATTCAATTTGATTGACAACAGGAATAATCTTAGCATTTTGCAATAATTTTCTCAATTTAGGAATAGAGTAATTTGAAACACCTATTGATCTAACCTTATTAGTTGCCTTAAGATCTTCAAGCTTACTGTAAGTCTCGAGGAATTTTACTCCATCAACCGGATCATCATCATACTTCAAGCTTCCGTCCTCATTCTTTGGGCCAGCTGGCAACCCATTTTCATCCCCTGAAAGACAAACGGGCCAATGTTGTAAAAATAAATCCACATAATCAATTCCTAATTCAGACAATGATTCGTCCAAGGATTTCTCAGGACTATGATGGAATGATGGCCATACTTTAGTAGTGATAAATAAATCTTCACGTTTATATCCTTCTGCAAATAATACCTTCAATGCTTCACCAACATATTTTTCAGTACCGTAGTACCACGCAGCATCAATATGGCGATATCCTGACCTAACGGCCGTAATAACTTGATCCCTAACGGCAGATTTGTCTTCAGGGGGAACTGTACCTAAACCCAAAGCAGGAATTTTATGACCGTCATTCAAATCGAAATAGACGTCTGTAGCTAACTTTTGTTCTGGCATCTTTCTATTCAACAAATAATTAATTGTTTCTAATAATTAATAATGAATCGCAAAGGGGTGTTATATTTGAATTGGGATTTCACGGATTAAATATTGTTGAACAAATCGTTAAACAGCAATTCTACTTAAAAAAATAATCCGGAATTGCGACTATTGTTGCTTGCGCGAACTGTTAAGCCACATACATTGATAAGGTAAACATTCTGTAACGAATGAAATTTTAGCAAAATATTATAATTAGTTACTTATGCAGAGGGGATGAATTGAATCAATAATCAAGAGTAAGCGATACTCATTTAGTGTAGAGAAGATTATACATGAAAATATAGACAATATAAGGAAAAATATACTCATACACGTGTCTTAAATTTCCATGTCACCAACAACATCATTTTCCATTTCGTAGTCGTCATCGTCAATCAATGCTTCGTCATCGATGTATTCATCCATGTACATGTCATCCTCGGCATCAGCATCATCCTCTTCCTCACCATCCTTATCGTTGGTTTCACCAGAGTTAGCAGCATCGTTATTTCTACTTATAGATGTATTTCTGTTGCCATTGACTTTTGAGTAGTGAATCTTATTAAGGGCAGTCAAATAAATGAAGGAAACTCTCTTCTTCTTTTTATTATATATAAACCAGTAATAGGACCACATAGTTTGGTATGGGTAATTCAAATCTTCCAAAATTGATTGATCAGAAGGCTGGAATTCGTAAATTTGACAATTTTCAAAAAGATTTGGATTTGTTGGGGGAGAATTGTTATCTGGAGATATTGATCCATGCTTCGAAGCAGAGGCCGACGTCGTGTGTAGGAAGCTATTGTGCCTAGACTCATTCGGAGTCGGCAACTTTGAGGGTATAAAATCCATATAGACGTTCACGGTGTCCCATATCCAATTTAGTAAATCCTCCTTCTTGCCAAGCGATACCATAATGTTGTTGAACCTATGAATGAGATCTTCAGCCGACCCAACTTTGTGAAAATTTTCCGTCGTAGGTTGCAAGTTTGAAAAGTCATGATCGGGATAAGTACTATTTAAAATAGCAATTAGATAGGCAAATGTTTTTCTCGTGGTGATATTCTTTAAGGGCCCAAATGGCGATTCATCAACATTGGAGCTATTTTCAACAGATCCACTAAGAGACCTTGAAAGATTCGAATTTATATTCTGCGACGATGATAACGAACCTTTACTGAAATTTATCAGCGACCCACTAACACGTCTTTCCCGTTCAGCTATATCAATATAACTACCGCGACGCCCCATCATCGCCTGGTTAATATTATTTCCATTGGATGTAGGCGATGCGCTACTTCCAAATAAAGGGTTATTTGAATTTTGAAGCTCACGTTCTAACGACTGTGATAATTGATTGTCCTCCATTATCTGGTCCAAATGCTTGTCTATGGTTTTGAATAGTTTTCTGTCCGACCCAATTGGCTTGGTGGTAAATAAGTCACATCCACCTTTTATCACCAAATTATTATCTTGCGATTGGAAATTCAATTCCTGATTGACTAATTCAATATCGACTTCATCTATAAACTATCAAAAGCTGTTAGTAAAACATATTTATCATTATAGAACCAGCACCGCGTACGGTCATTATCTCGTGGTTTAAAATAATTAAAACATACCTTCATCTCGTATTAATTAATAATTGAGTAGATGATGTATAGAAAGTTCCGAGGAATAAGCTTATATATTATTTTACCTAGTAGTTGCTAGTATTTGTTTCTAATCTTAAGATTCAATTACTGCATTTACTATAAACCCGAACATGTTCATTATCTTTTGAACTCTCACATTGAACAAAGCACGACCCACGTTATCATGAAATTAATACCGTGATTATGTTCATATTATTATTTCATTATAAGTCGTCCTGAATCTTCTCATGTCTCTATATCCGAAAAGCAATGGGCCGATTTGAATTCTCTTAACATGTTATATTTGAGTGATTCCATTTGTAGTTATTTGGAAAGGAATTTTACGATTTTCATTGAACACACCATTCAGACTTACCAGGTCGTACGGGGATGCTACTACCTTTACATATCTTTCAACAGACCATCCATCTATAAGCGATTCGACACCATAAATAGTGTTATTTTTTTGTTTGTTTTCAGGATTGTCGTTGTCAGCTTTACGTTTCATGCTTCCTTCAGTTTGGGTTGGTAAGTTAAAGCCCTCACACAAAGAATCGTAGGTTAATCTTGATTCTGGATCAACTGGCTGATATGTATCTGCAAGAATAGCCTTATCTTTGAGTAGGGGTCTATACGTTTTCATGAGCATTAAACGAGAAACCATATTTTTTCCCCATTGATAACCAAGAGTGGGCACAATTTTCTTAGTATCACAGTTTTCTAACTTATGTAGCTTATCAATAAGGTCTTCTTGGTTAGAATATTGATCATCAATAACCGAAGAGTTGTTATGCTTATGGTACCGGGGGTCTATTTCTGATTCGTTTAGATGTATTCCTGTCTTTTGCCGTTTGTTTAGATTGTTGATCTGATCTATAGATCTCAGAAGTTCGTAATAAGCTAATTCGGACTCCTTAGAGCTGATTAATTCTTTGCTTTGCAGGAAAAGCTGTTGATGTTTAAATATTGATTTGTTGTCCCAACCCGAATATTGACCCAACTGGTATTCAAGATTAAGGCTATCGTCTGCATATTCATAGCCACTTAAGTCTTTAATATTCTCGGGATAATCACTCACCTGGTTGGCTGTAATGACAGCAATATTATTATCTTTGGCAATAGATAATAGGTGACGATGCAACAACATCAAGTATTGTGTTCTTGCAATTCTATTTTGATATTTGGGTGTGGACTTAAAAAATGCTTTAACTTGCTGGTCAAGCTTGGCTTTAACTTCTGTATATTCTTTACAATCAGTCAAAGCTTCCTCTTGTGCCTTTATATGATCATTTATGTAGCTTGTGTTTGTTACAGCTTCTTCCATCCTTAGGTGATGAGATATGCTATCAATTATAATGGTTCGTACTTTACCTTTCTCCTGAGATAGCTTCACCGGTAATTGTGTGAAAAGGGTATGGTCTTGATTTTCAATATCCTGGCAGTAAATGCAAGAAATATTATCCATCAGAACTTTTTTATCCGACTTGGAATTGTGATGGTCTATCATGTCCTGAAGTCGTCTTGTTTCTAATGGAGATTCAGTCGAAATATAAATGCATTGATTATTCTGCGGATCGCCAAACAATTGTGTATATATGGATAGCTGAAGAAGAAACTGTGACTTTCCACAGCCACTTGCTCCAAATATTTCAGTTATTTCACCTAATGGAATTCCCCCATTCAATTGTCGATCCAAAGTTTCAAGGCCAGTCAGTATAAAATGATCTTGTATATGCTTCTCACCGAATCTGTCTTTCAAACAACATTGAGTTGATGCTTCAATACATTCATTCTTCAAGATATTCAAAAATTCCTCCACTTCTCTAATTGATCTGCCCAATCTCTTAGATAGTTGAGGGAGGTTCGAGCTTGATGACAAATGAATCGAAGACAAAAGATCAACAACTGTTAGTCCATTTGCCTCTATTGCTGAAGTGAGCGTAGCAAAATTATTCCCAATATTAACATCATTGGGAGAGAGTTGTTTGAATATATCCATGTTCACTAAGATTGATCTGATACAACAATTTTTTTTTTCTACGCGTTACTTATTATCGCACTTTAATAGCTATAGCTATTAGCTTAAAATTGTAAATAATAGAAGTATAATCTATATTTAATATACACAAATAGAACTATAATTAAATAAATATAACTTGTAGATTCAAGCTAAACCTTCACTAGCTTTAGGAATCATAAAATCCTTGGCTTTTAAAAATTTGACTAGGAAATTTGGTGCACTCCAGCCAAACATTAAACCAATACCACCATTTCTTGAAATAGGAACTAATATAGTCGTCTTTATTGGTGAATAAGGCTTGAGCTTGGAATTCTTATTACCAAAGAATTCAAGGTCAACAACCGATTCAAAAGTCGCTTTTTGGACATAGCTTAAGTTCACAAGGGTATTTTCACCGATCGAAAGAATGTCACCTAACCCTAATACATTGTTATGGCCCTCAACACGGAAGTATTTGTCGGTCTTCAAGTATCCATTGTTATCAAGGAATTTTTTGTCTAAAAATTCCGAATTAGGAGTTACACCATAAGCTGGTATAACGACATCAGCATCATCGGATGAACCATCTTTGAATATAACCTTGGAACGAGTACCATTTTCGTCAAAACTGGTAGACCTTTTATTATTGATAACTTTGACTCCTAATGCAGTCAATTTGTTAGTGGCAGCTTTAGATTTGCTTTCGCCCAAAGGTGCAAGAGGACCAACCAGACCGGTATACAAAATAATATCCTTTTCCTTACCGTAAAGCGAACCCAATTCACCTGCTGTTTCTACACCAGTCGCCCCACCTCCTAATATAATAATCTTCTTAGCACTTTTGGTAGATTTATTTAATTTCTTGATCGAATCAACCGTATCCTTATGGTCCCCTAACAACCTAAATGCAGCATTATCTGTCCTGCAGCCTGATGCTACAACCAAGAAATCGTATTCAACAGTCAGCTTTCCGTCAGCACCTTCAACAGTTAACAAGTTCTTATCAAAATCGGCAATCTCAACTTTTCCATGAATAAACTTATAGCTAATACCTTCAGAATGTTTCTTTAAAGTTTCTTCTATAGGGAAAATAGTTTGTTCAATTTTTTCTGGCTCCGTAATTAAACGAGGAGTGGCCACAGTATAATATGCATGTGTAGATGGTGATATTAATGTAACACGAATTGACTTGTTCTTATGGCCAAAAATGGTTTTAGCAGCAGTGATACCAGCGAATGAACCGCCAATTATAACTATATGTTTTTCTGAATTCGACATAGCAAGTTAGAGTTGAATTTGTTTACGTCTTGAAATTAAGTGAATATGCTATTTATTTTATATAGTCGCGATCAGCAATGAGAATTACTAATTAACTCCGAAACAAGCATAAGATAAAATAGAATATAATAATTTCACAAGTCACTATTTGCATACGATATTAAGAAGGCTTGAAAAGTATTGAGAACATTCTGGGTAATAAATGCATTTCGCCTGTAAAAAATCATAATTACTTATATATTACAATACATAAATAATTAGGCTAACATATCGCCTGCTTTAGAAATCATGAAGTCCTTTGATTTTAAAAACTTGATGAAAAAGCTTGGAAAATTCCAGCCAAACATTAAACCAACACCCCCAGTTCTGGAAATAGGAACACCCAATGTAGTCTTTACAGGTGAATATGGCTTAAGTTTAGTATTCTTATTACCAAAGACTTCTAGGCTAACCACAGATTCGAAAGCCGCCATTTGGGAGTATTTTAGGCTTATAACGGTATTTTCACCGATCGCAAGAATATCACCTAAGCCTAACACATTGCGATGGCCCTTGACACGCAAGTATTCATCAGTATTCAAGTATCCTTTAGAATCGAGGAATTTTGGATCTAAAAATTCCGAATTAGGAGTTACACCATAAGCTGGAATAACAACATCAGCATTTTCAGATAAACCATCTTCAAATAAAACACTAGAACGAGTGCCACTTTTCTGAAAATTTGTAGATTTTTTATTGTTAATAACTTTAACACCTAATTCAGTTAACCTTGAAATAGTTTCAACAGATTTTCCAGGACCTAACTGTAAAAGAGGACCTGTCAGACCGGTGTACAATACTATTTCCTTCTCTTTTCCGTAGAGATAACCTAGTTCCCCAGCTGTCTCAACACCTGTTGGACCACCACCTAATATAATAATCTTCTTTGCATCTTTAGTTGTTCTATTCAATCTTTTTATGGAATCAATTGTATCTTGATGATCACCACCTAATTTGAATGCTGTGTCGTCTGTTCTAGAACCCGATGCCACAATTAAGTAGTCATAGTTAATTGACTGTTTGCCCTTACCATTTTCCACAATCAAAGAGTTATTTTCAAAATTAGTAGAAAGAACTTTTCCCAATATGAACTTGAAATCAACTCCATTTGAGTACTTCTCTAATGTTTTTTCAACCGGAAACAAAACTTTATCAATTTTCTCAGGTTCCATAATTAAGCGAGGACTGGCTACATTGAAAAAAGCATTTGTAGATGATGATATCAAGGTAACACGAGTTGACTTATCTTTATGGCCAAATATAGTTTTAGCTGCAGTGATACCAGCGTATGAACCGCCAATTATTACTATATGTTTCGAGGAGTCTGACATTATTTGCAAATCAAAAGTTTAACCTGTAGGCATAAATCGGACGATCGCGCATTTATGTTCGTATTTATTCGAGATGCTTAGAAATTGTTATTTTATTAATAAAAATTAATAATTATCTCCGTCGGATCTAGGCCTAATAAGGATATGGAAGACTGCTTCAAGCGAAAGAATATGGGATAACACCACTGTCGTCGACATTTTGCAATTTTTTTGTGAAATAAGCTTAGAAATAGCTCATTCTGATGACAAATGAGAAACCTATAGATTTGATTAGCATCTGAAAGTGTAACTGTAAGCTCTACTATTTTCAAAAGAGTCAAATAATTTTATTTATTTATTTCGCAGGTATACTGGATACAAATTATTTACATCAACTAATAAATTAATGAGCACCAGAAATGAAGAACCATTTGTCAACGGACTTGTCGATTGGAGCAGCTGGTTGAACAGAAGCTGGTGGGACATCGTTGGCAGCAGCTTCAGAGAAGGTTTGGGTAGAGGACAAAGTAGTGTTGTCTAAAGCAATACCCTTAGAGTCGGCAGATTCACCCTTGATTAACTTTTCCCAAGCTTCGCTACATTCATTGATGACTTCTTCGGCGTATTTCTTGTTCTTACATTCACCGGAGAAAGCGAATTGGTTTTCTGGCTTACCATCTGGAATCTTGTAGATTCTGAACCATTCGTTGGTGGCTCTCAATAAACCTGGTAAGTGGGTTTCAACATCTTCAATATCGTTTAACTTTGGAGCCAATGGGTCATTGACATCGATGACAATGATCTTCCAGTCGGTTTCACCTTCATCTAATAAAGCCATGACACCTAAGACCTTGACTTGCTTGACTTGACCGACATATGCGACTTGTTCACCAATTTCACAAACATCTAAAGGATCGTTATCACCCTTAGCCTTGGTTTCTGGGTGAACTTGGTTTGGGTCTTCCCAGGTTTGTGGGAAAGCACCGTAGTTGTGAATGTAACCGTGGTGTGGGAAACAGTTACGGACAAATCTCAACTTACCCTTCTTGGTATCTTGGAGAATTGGGTTTAACTTTTCTTCCTTAGAGATTTCTAACTTGGCGTTGGTCCATCTTGGAACTTCAACAATCATGTTTAAAACAGTCTTTTCTTCATTAGCATACAATGGAATATCATGGAATGGAGAGACTGGCTTACCATTTTGTTCAATGAAGACTCTGTAGTCTAATGTGTTTGGGGCACCAATTTGACGAGCTGTGAAAGACATTTTTATTTCTTAAATTCGATTAATTGAATGGAGAAAACAAAAATTAAAGGTATAAATCTGAAAAATCAAGTATAGCTTTCGGTGTTTCGTCGATCTACGTGGGAATGTTACCCGCAACACGTGTAATTATGTAATGGCTAAGCGGATCATTTTTTTTGGTTGCAGACTACCTTTTGTTAACAGCGATACAATAGTCATACCAGTGGCTTGGTGTTCTAGGATAGTGCTTGGAAAAGACGTATATGACGCTACTGAATGTATTGCTTGATTTTTCTCAAAATATATTCATTAGGACAGGAATCCACTATGTTCATTTCGGATTTTTTAAATAGAACCAAACCTCTTGTAAGTTCTCTGTGCCATTTGTTCAATTCTTGCTCTTCTGGAACAGGCCTTTGTAGCAGCTTAATGTCTCTAATGAAATTACTCATCATTCTCCAATCTCTAGCCGAAATATCTAACCACCCACTAGCATATTCCGTTAAAAAAACCCCGGCAAACGTTAACTTCGGACAGACGACCGAATCGAAGTTTTTGGCATACTTGTAGTTTTTGCAGATACTTAGACCATACACATCGGAATCCATAAACGCCATTATTGGTACTTTGGGATATGTTTCGCCCAATGATCCCACAAACCGCTTCGTGAGGCTATCTGGGAATCCCTTGCCCGTCACGGCAATCAAACTGACATCTATGTTTTGGATATACTTACAGAACGACTTGAAAACTGCCTCTTTTTCGATCACTACAATGCCCTTCGGAGGGTCAACGGCTTCCAACTCGTTTGTGCGCGGTATCAACACTGGCTCGTCCAACTCACACTCAATTCCCATCCGTCTAAACCGCATGTTGCCAAAAATAAGCCCTTTCTGCGACGCAAATATCTTGAGGTCCTTCTCAGCGCACATTCCTAGCGACCCCACTATGCATTCAATCAACTCGTTGGCAAACGGCTGTGATTTCTGGAACAACCCAACGTCCTGATAATACACATCTCTCTTGGTGGTGGTTCGATCCTGTACGAGATTGACGATCATTGTCTTCAAAACCTTGATAACCGCCGCAAATCGTCTTGCTTCCACCTCACTGCCGCCCAATTGTCCCACTTCGTAGCCTTTAATGCTCCCGGAATATGTTATCTTACGGCTCCTACAATATGGCTTGTGGAAAACAATTACAATATCGCCACTGATATTACTTCTAATCTGTTCCCATAATCCAAAAAGCTTTTGCAACGGTAATCTATATCGCATTAATATTTGGTGTCATAATAGCTTAATTTCTACTTTTAAAAAGGTCTATCATACGTCGGTTGCACATCTGGATAAAAATATACCTTAACCGGTTTAATTACATAGGTCTTATACTTCATTGGCTATTGTTTAGTAATTCGTAAAATCAGCCAAGAGATCCTAAGAGTTCCCTTTTCTACCGAATGAGAAATCAAACGAGAAAAAAATGAGACTGTGCCCGGCTCAAGGAATAAATGATTCTTATAAGAATATAAAAAAAGGGTCCGAAATCCGTATATAATATCAACTTCTGGAAGACATAAAGTATCAATATGTATATACAGAACGTCAATAAGAGAGACTGGGAAAATAGTTCATGGACATCAGGTGGAGGTGCAAGATGGGCCTTCTTTGCTGTGTTTATAGTGCTCATTCTTATAGTGGTGTTGGGAACTATTCGGGTAAATAAAAAGCGGTCCCAACAGGGAATTCAACCCATATATGGGACTCGTTGGATGACACCACCTTCATACGTGCAATCACAGACCCAATATAACCAGCCAAATACCAGAGACCCCGATATGCCTACAAATTATGTTCCAGCATACTCGGCCGAGGCAACTGAGTACGATATGGGATACTACGACAATAGTGGCAAATTCCATGCTAATCCAAATGCCAAGTCCCAGACAAACGTTGAGATGTCGGACGTTACATATCCTGAAAATGCACATCAGCGACTGAGCAGCGGAACTGCTGGGGCACCAGTGGGCCGGATACCTACGCTTCACGAACAGAGTGATGAGAATGACGACGAGGACTTGTACAGACCGCCACCGGGGCCACCTCCGTCAGCTGGTCGCTTGGATACAGGAGGAACAGCATCGACAGTCTCTCCTACGATACCAGGACAATTTCCTACCAACGATAGGGCCACATGAAGCTAATCATTAGAGTGCTGGAACACTACATTGTGATGCGAATAGAACGCCATTGATCACATACATCGATGTGTTTAAACAAATACCCGATGCCTATGGTATGGGGGAATGAACTCTGCTTAAGTGGGTCTAGTAAAATGAGAGGTGCAATGTTTAGAATCTGCAGAAATAATCACATTTATTTAAACTCATTCTGGTTGTTAGCATCCGTGATCAGGTCTTTGTTAATGGGTACTAATACGCTACCACAATATGCATAGTCATACTTTATAGTTAATCAAATTAATAATTCGATAAGATTTGTAGACTGGCATATTTTTAAAAATAAGCTGTTCTTTGTTCACTACTTGGTATATACTGTCATTTCTACGGTTCATTGAAGAGGTAAGAACGAAATAGTATAATGATACCATGTTATATTTTTGACTTAGTATCATAAAATTTGATTAAGAAATAGAATTCATGCTTTTCTGAAAATTTTTTGGAAGATTCCCGTTTAGTGGTTGTATACTCTCTACTCCCCATTGCATTAAACGACTACGGTTCTGTTTTACCGGTAAAGTAAATGCCAAATTTAAAACTGTAACTCTATGGCGACAAGTGTGAAATATATCGCTTATTAGTATGTACTAACATAACTTCAAGTATTAGCTAACTGTCTTGTAAAAGTTATGAACTACATACCCTTGATTATACTATATAGCATATGTAACGCTATAGACCGGAGAAAGAAAATTCCCGTCTTTACACCCCGGTAAAGAGCTTTCTGGTCGCATATTTCTGTCATTAACTTTTTCTACATTCTTCTTTCAGCTTCCTCTAAGTATCTCACTCACATCTAAACGCCTCGGCCATAGTATAACGCCCTTTTGTTAACAACAAAATCCAAACAAATACCGCGACTTGCATCACCGTGTTCAACGCAAATGCCGAATCTCACTTGCTTTACGGATACATACTTTAATAGTAAACTGTCGTCAATTTTAACAGTTCGTGCGTATTTGACGCAAGAAACTACACTAGTAGAGGAACTACTGCAATACACGTATTCGTATGGAAGCATCATCAAAACACACTTCTCAGAAAATATTCTGAAAAAACACCTCAAAAATGGGAATAAAATTTTTTACAGGACCTGGTAATAGTATCTTCAAAAGACTATATTCCCCATGTGAACATGTAAAGAAGCATCAATATGTGCCGTGGTCTTCTTCACCCATCGATCATCCATCGGCGATGTTCATACGATCACTTAAATGTAAAACCGTCTTCTTCAAAACAACAACTATACTGCATGGTCGTTACTTTACAATCTGTATTCACCCGTGTTTCGATGTCTCATGTAAATGAAGTTTCCTTATGACATCATACTTACCGGGCGCGGTCTTTTAAAGTTGCTCATACCAGCAGCATGTTTGTATATTGAATAATTATGTACACACCCCACATGCCAGCCTTCTTCCTTGGACCAATAGAAAAACTATAACTGAATTTGTTTGTTTGTTCAGCATCGGCCCACATGACGACAATTGCTTAAGCCGTGCCATAAACAGTTTTGTGAAGAATTTCATATGATAAAGAATGAAATTTTATTGTTTAGGAAAGTACTCTCTGCTATTGTCCCTTATTGCTCATCTTAGGAATCCGTGACTTTCAAAAATATACATATAAGGGCAATTGGTTGTTGTTTTTCGTTTTCAATAGGTTTTAAGACGAATTGACTTATTTAAGATGGCTAGCAGTAGTGGAGAATCGGATAATTCCGTTTCTCAATTTGTATCTACGTTAATACCTACATTGGTTATTGCGCTTATTTTCTATTTAGCATTTATTGGTATTAGAAAGAAGCAACAAAGAGTTTATGAACCAAGAAACGTTGTCGAAACAGTTTCACCAGACTTGAAGCCTGGTGAATCTCCAGCTGGAATTTTTGGATGGGTGTCGTTTTTATTGCACAAACCAGAAACATATATTATTCAACAAGCAGGTGTTGATGGATATTTCTTCATCAGATTCCTCTTTCAATTTGCCGTGGTATGCTTCATGGGATGCTGTATTTTATGGCCTGTTTTGTTCCCTGTCAATGCTACGGGTGGAAATGGTCAAGAAGGATTGAATATTTTATCATATGCTAATGTTAAGGACAAGAATAGATTTTTTGCTCAGATCTTTTTGAGTTGGGCGTTCTTCGGTTCTGTATTATTCTTGATTTACCGTGAATTGGTGTACTATACCACTTTTAGACACGCTCTTCAAACCACTCCATTATATGATTCTTTGTTATCGTCCAGAACCTTGTTATTGACTGAGGTTCCTGAGAACTTATTGAAGGAAGATGAATTGAGAGGTTACTTTCCTACAGCCACCAATGTGTGGTATGCCCGTGATTACACTGAATTAACCAAGAAGGTTAAGGAAAGAAACAAGCTCACCAACAAGTACGAAGGTACTTTGAACAAGACACTTACCAAGGCTGTTAAAATCAGAAATAAGGCATTGAAGAAAAATAAGGAGCCTCCTTTACCAGCCGATGATTTAGATAAGTACTTGAAGGATGGTAAGAAGAGACCAACCCACAAATTGAAATTCTTGATCGGTAAGAAGGTTGACACGTTGACTTACTGTCCAGAAAGATTAGGAGAATTAAACACTGAAATCAAGAAGGACCAAGCTCAGCACAATGCTAACACTCAAATTCCATCTGTTTTTATTGAATTCCCAACTCAATTAGAATTGCAAAAAGCTTACCAAGCTATTCCTTATAACAAGGAATTAGGTAATTCTAAGAGATTCAGTGGATTAACTCCAGATGATGTGATTTGGGAGAATTTGCATTTGACTACGACTAAGAGGAGAATCAAGAAGGTAATTGCTTCTACTGTATTAACTTTGATGATTATTTTCTGGTGTATTCCTGTTGCTGTAGTTGGTGCTATTTCAAATATTACTTTCTTGATTAAAAAGGCCCCTTGGTTAGAATTTATTAATAATATGCCAGATAAGCTTAAGGGTATTATCACAGGTCTTTTGCCAGTTGTTGCATTGGCTATTTTGATGTCTTTGGTTCCACCATTTATCAAGAAAATGGGTAAGGTTAGTGGTTGCATAACAATTCAACAAGTTGAATCTTATTGTCAAGCCTGGTTTTATGCCTTTGAAGTTGTCCACGTATTTTTGGTGGTAGCTTTATGTTCTTCTTCTATTTCTGCTGTCCCAGATATTGTGGAGAATCCATCTTCTCTTATGCCATTATTGGCTCAACAATTGCCAAAATCTTCCAATTTCTATATTTCTTATCTTTGTTTACAAGGTTTAACAATTTCTGCGGGATTATTGTTACAAATTGTTGCATTAATTTTAGCTCAAATATTGGGTAAGATCTTGGATGGCACTCCAAGGGCTAAATGGAACCGTTGGAACACTTTGGGTCAACCCTTCTGGTCCGTTATTTATCCAGCTTATGAATTGTTATGTGTTATTGCATTCGCATACTCTATCATTGCTCCATTAGTGTTGGGATTTGCGTTCGTTACGTTTGTTTTGATATATTGCGCTTACATGTACTTATTAGTTCATGTTTTACAACCAAACAAGACAGATGCCCGTGGTAGAAACTATCCAAGTGCATTGTTCCAGTTATTCGTTGGCCTTTATTTAGCTGAGATTTGTCTTACAGCATTGTTTGTTTTCGGTAAGAATTGGGCTGCTGTCGCCTTAGAAGGTATTATGATTGCGGTCACTGCTCTTTGTCATATCTATTACAAATGGAAGTTCTTGCCATTATGGGATGTTGTTCCTGTATCTGCTATTAGATATGCTGCTGGTGATGCAACATACCAATATCCAATGCACGATCAAGGCAGGAAAGAAATTAAGATTGAAGGTGAGAACTACTGGCAAGGTGGAAACCAATTAGGTTTAACTGGTGATCATGATCAACAAGTATTGCCAAACGTTCATGAAAAGGATGCCTACTTGGGAACTGGCTCTGACTCAATTATTAATGATGGTACCAGCCAATCTAAGGTAACTACCGACTCGAAACAACCGTTCAATAGAAACAATACCGTCAATGGAAATGTAGTTGACGAAAAGGCAGTTGGTGTTGCAGGTACTGGGAACAAACCTATTACCTCCGAGCCTCAAGGTTCTAAGCTCACCAGATTCTTCAAGCCTAAGTTACAAACCTTTGACTTTGTTAGAGATAATATGCCTGAACCTTACTTCAACTACATTGAATACAACCCAGATTTCATAAGAAACGCCTATGAAGATCCTGTTGTCAACGACGAAGAACCACATATCTGGATCGCCAGAGACGACATGGGATTATCTGAAATTGAAAAGAATAAGGCTTTAGAAAACGGAGTCGATGTTTCTGATGAGAATGCTATGTACAACGAAAAGGGTGCATTAATCTACACGGGTGCCCCACCTTCGTACGAAGAAGCTTTGAAAATATAATCTTATAATGTTCGTGTTTTGTCTGTTTTAATATCGAAGACAGTTGTATAGTTTTTTAATTTTGATTTATTTATTACTTCTTGCCGATTCTATTTAATTAGCTACTTTCTTTTAATGTTTTAAATTTTTGATAATCATTGGTGTAGGGCTTTTCAATGTAGGGTCAACCAGAGTTAATCTCGCATAATTTAGTTGATCGTAAACATGATCTTGCATGATCACTTTATGGCTCACATACGAGAAATACTCCCAAAAAAATTTACTCATTTAGTTTCGTTCAGGTTGGAAGACATATTGAATAACTAAAGATGGCTGGAACAACAGAAGATAATTCCGTTTCACAATTTGTATCTACGTTAATACCAACATTCGTACTTGCTGCAGTATTTTACCTAACTTTTATTCGCATTAGAAAGAAGCAACAAAGAGTTTATGAACCAAGAAACGTTGTCGAAACAGTTTCACCAGACTTGAAGCCTGGTGAATCCCCAGCTGGATTTTTTGGATGGGTGTCATTTTTATTGCACAAACCAGAAGTCTATATTATCCAGCAGGCAGGTGTTGATGGCTATTTTTTCATAAGATTTCTTTTCGAATTTGCGGCCATTTGTTTTATTGGATGCTGTATTTTATGGCCAATTTTATTCCCTGTTAATGCAACTGGTGGAAATGGTCAAGAAGGATTGAATATTTTATCATATGCTAATGTTAGGAATAAAAACAGGTTCTTTGCTCAAATTTTCTTGAGTTGGGTCTTCTTTGGTGCTGTATTATTCTTGATTTATCGTGAATTGGTGTACTATACCACTTTTAGACACGCTCTTCAAACCACTCCATTATATGATTCTTTGTTATCGTCCAGAACCTTGTTATTGACTGAGGTTCCTGAGGACTTATTGAAGGAAGATGAATTGAGAGGTTACTTTCCTACAGCTACAAATGTGTGGTATGCTCGTGATTATACTGAATTAACCAAGAAGGTCAAGGAAAGAAATAAGCTCACCAACAAGTACGAAGGTACTTTGAACAAGACACTTACCAAGGCTGTTAAAATCAGAAACAAGGCATTGAAGAAGAACAAGGAGCCTCCTTTACCAGCCGATGACTTAGATAAGTACTTGAAGGATGGCAAGAAGAGGCCAACCCACAAGTTGAAATTCTTGATCGGTAAGAAGGTTGACACTTTAACTTACTCTCCAAAAAGATTAGGAGAATTAAACACTGAAATTAAGAAGGATCAAGCTCAGCATAATGCTAACACTCAGATTCCATCTGTTTTCATTGAATTCCCAACTCAATTGGAATTGCAAAAGGCTTACCAAGCTATTCCTTATAACAAGGAATTGAAATGTGCTAGAAGCTTCACTGGATTAACCCCAGATGATGTGATTTGGGAGAACCTACCTTTGACTCCAACCAAAAGGAGAGTCAAGAAGATTATTGCTAATACTGTGTTAACTTTAATGATTATTTTCTGGTGTATTCCTGTTGCTGTAGTTGGTGCTATTTCAAATATCACTTTCTTGATTAAAGTAGCGCCTTGGTTAGAATTCATTAATAATATGCCAAGTAAGCTTAAGGGTATTATCACAGGTCTTTTGCCAGTTGTTGCATTGTCTATTTTAATGTCTTTGGTTCCACCATTTATCAAAAAGTTGGGTAAGGTTAGTGGTTGCATAACAATTCAACAAGTTGAATCTTATTGTCAAGCTTGGTTTTATGCCTTTGAAGCTGTCCACGTATTTTTGGTGGTAGCTTTATGTTCTTCTTCAGTTTCTGCTGTCCCAGATATTATGGAGAATCCATCTTCTCTTATGCCATTGTTGGCTCAACAATTACCAAAATCCGCTAATTTCTATATTGCTTACCTTTGTTTACGAGGTTTGGCAATTTCTGCAGGCTTGTTGGTCCAAATTGTTGCATTAATTTTAGCCCAGTTCTTGGGAAAGATCTTGGATGGTACTCCAAGAGCTAAATGGAACCGTTGGAATACTTTGGGTCAACCCTTCTGGTCCGTAATTTACCCCCCTTACCAATTGTTGTGTGTGATAGCGTTTGCCTACTCTATTCTTGCTCCATTAGTGTTGGGGTTTACGGTCGTTACGTTTGTTTTAATATATTGCGCTTACATGTACTTATTAGTTCATGTTTTACAACCAAACAAGACAGATGCCCGAGGTAGGAACTATCCAAATGCTTTATTACAATTATTCGTTGGTCTTTATTTAGCTGAGATTTGTCTTACTGCTATGTTTGTTTTCGGTAAGAATTGGGCTGCTGTCGCCTTAGAAGGTATTATGATTGCGGTTACTGCTCTTTGTCATATCTATTACAAATGGAAGTTCTTACCATTATGGGATGTTGTTCCTGTATCTGCTATTAGATATGCTGCTGGTGATGCAACATACCAATATCCAATGCACGATCAAGGCAGGAAAGAAATTAAGATTGAAGGTGAGAACTACTGGCAAGGTGGAAACCAATTGGGTTTAACTGGTGATCATGATCAACAAGTATTGCCAAACCTTCATGACAAGGAAACCTTGGAAACTGGCTCCGACTCAATTAATGACGGTACTTACAGCCAATCTAAGGTAATCACCAACTCAACACAACCAACTAATAGAAATACTATCCCTGATGAGACGACACTTGGCTCTGGAATTCGGACTACTAAGCCAAGGGGTTCCGCGTTTTCAAGATTTTTCAAACCTAAGTTGCAATCCTTCGACTTTGTTAGAGATCATATGCCAGAACCTTACTTCAACTATATTGAATACAACCCAGATTTCATTAGAAACCCTTATGATGATCCCGTTGTCAAAGACGAAGAGCCACATATATGGATCGCCAGAGACGACATGGGATTATCCGAAATTGAAAAGAATAAGGCTTTAGAAAACGGAGTCGATGTGTCTAATGATAATGCTATTTACAATGAAGAGGGCACTCTTATCTACACGGGTGCCCCACCTTCGTACGAAGAAGCTTTGAAGGTCTAACCCAATAGTGTAGTGTGTCTTTTTGCGTTATCACGTTATGTCTGCTTTAGTATCAAGACTATTGTAAAGTTTTGATATCCATTTACTTCTTGGCGAATTTTTCAATTATTTAGGTAACAATTAATTCTTTCTTATTTCAACAGTTCTTGATGTAGGGTCCCCAGAATTAGTCTTGTATGGTTAGCCAATTTATCTCCGAGCTCCGATATAGAGATTGCTCTTCGCAGTGCTGCAACTGCACCCCTTTCAATTCCAAATCAATACACCCGTAATAAACTAAGGTTGCGAATTTGGTAAGCATAGTTCAGTCATTAGCAACATAGGGTTAACTCCACCTTTAGTCATATAAATAGGAAAACGAATCAGCGATTTAGTATTTCGTATTATATTTGAGGCTATTTAAAGTAGATTACCAATTGTATCTAAGCGTACAATCATTTAAAGGTCTATCAATCATTTCAAGAGTTTGCAATTTCAATATCACAATGTTTAGAAGAATTCCATTAAGAGCAAAGCCAGCTCTAACTATATTTCGTCGTAATCTTGTGGATGCCGAAATCAACATACCTAAACGTGTTATTCCCGAAAAGGATATCGATGGACCCTCTGCAAGTCTTAATAACGGGGTTAAGGGCCAAAAAACATTTCCTTCTGGTTCAGCTAAGAAGAACTTCTTCAAAGAATTACCAAAAGCTATACAAGCTCTTATTGCAATAGGCACAATTATGATATTTTGGCCTATGGCAACAGTAGGAATAAGTAACTTTACGCATTCAGTTCCCAGTGAGAGTACTTCAGCTGTGAAAATAGGTCCTAAAGGTACAACAACCGTGGATATTCCTCAGACTTACGCTCATCTCGATAAACCAACAGAAGATGAAGACGAGTAATTATAACATATTGTTTACGTATAATTATACACGATCTGAATTATTTTCCTAATTATGTATTAAAATGTTAATGTAGAAACGTAGAAATGCTCAGTAATGAATTGACAGAAAAGAAGTTATTTGCCTAATTAAATCACTTTAAATTGAGGATCATCATCGTCTGAACTAGCTTGGAGTTCTTCATCCTTGGATGGTTCGCCTGGGATACCGAAGTCACCTTCCCAACCATTATCGATCAAATAGTTCTTGAATTTGATATCCTCTTCCAATAAATCGTCTTCTTTCAAATGAGGAATGAAGAAAAACGCTACCAAGACACCAGCTAAACCACAGATAGCCGCAATTATGAATGTCCATTTTGCCCCCTTATGATTTTGAATTGGGGTAAATGTCTCAGTACCTACGACGGCCCCAACTTTACCCAAGGCTGCACTGAGGCCGTAACATGTGCCTCTTATAGGTGTAGCAAATGATTCCAGTGATACTAATCCCATCATATCTCCCGGACCCAAGTTACCAGAACTCATCATAAGGCCATAAAAGACAATGAACAACGCTGGAATACTCTTTATTTTATCATAGCCTATTCCCACGATCAAACCGAAAACGATATAACCACAGAAACCAACAATTAAAGTATATTTTCTACCAATTCTATCACATAAATAGGCTCCAATAAACACACCTGGAATAGCTATGATACCCATTAACAATTGCCATTCAGCGATCTTTTCTATGTCGGTAGTATCATCCAATACTGTTTTAATAATCCCAGCTGAAAAGACACCGTTAGGGAATGTAACAAAATCATACAAAAACCAACACCCGCAGGTACCAAGAAATCTTGGCCAATAGTACTTTAAAGCTAGCCAGTATGGAACCCGTCTCTTGATGGCACTTTTCTTATACAACTCAGAAGTAGCCATTTTAAGACGGAAATAGAATACGGATAACGGCCAAAATGCACCAATGGCGAACATAGCTCTCCATAATCCAGAGCTGACACCTTTTGTGATTTGATAAACAATCAAAAAGATGATACTTGCAAAGGGTCCACCGAAGGATAATGGTAAGTTAGTACATAACGTAAATACACCACCTCTTCTCCTTATTGATTCATTTGCAGCTTCGTTGGCAGAAACTGACGAGGCAGGGTATTCGGCCCCAATACCAAACCCCGTCACACCTCTTGAAATAAGCAACATCCAAAGCATTCCGTTGGTAGTAACACCATGAGATGCAGCACACATAATAGTACCCAAAATTAAGAAAACAGTTGCAACCACAATTGACCATTTACGCCCAATATAGTCACAAGTAAATCCTATAGCTACCTGTCCAAAAATGGTTCCAACCAAACTTGCGTTCGAAATAGCTGTTTTCATTTTTGCATCGTATGCTATTGGGTGCAATACCGGGAAAACAACATTTAACATCGTCATAACATTATTTTGGTACCCGTCAGATATCAAAGCAAATCCAGCACACAAGACAGTCAACACGTCTCTTATTTTAGTACCACCAGCAAATCTTTGTCTTCTTAACTCGGAGTCATGGACAAAATGCTTTTTATGTCCGTCATTGCTTGCTATAATATCATCTGAAGACTGATAAGACTGAGACCTGATAATATTGACAGGCTTTTGATCCTTTTGCATTTCGCTTTCTACCTGGCTCATTCTCACTAGATAAAAAAATACCCTTGACCTGATCCTCGTTAATTGGAATACAATAGATTTTTAAGAAGGCTCCGGCGTGTATTTATACTTTCAGAATAATAGAAATTCCCCCTCTTAATTCTTAAAGGAAATTAAAGTGTAGGTGCCATTTTTTCCTTTTGGCTAGAAATTTCATTAGTTAATTTAACTCCCTTGCATTGACACGTTCAATATTGATGTACATCACACGTTGTTTAGCTACTAAGCTTTGGTTATTCATATGCTTCGTGAGCTTATCTTTAGCACCACGTGCAGATATGTCGCTTTTGGCATTATAATTGAAGTATTTTTAAGTGCAAACTGCGTCCTATCATAGTTTATTTCAACGCATCTAAAACTAGTTCTACGATATTCTATTTACTATTTCTATGATTGTATGACACATGTCAATCCACTTTATTACTTGGTCATCTTATTTATCGCTGCCAGTTGTCTAGAGTAAAATCTCCGTATTTTTGCTATGTACGAGCAAACGACAGATTTTTGCCCAATTAGGAAAGAGTACGAATGGCTTCTTTTTTCCCACGTTTGAATCATCAGACGAGAGATAGAATAAATCCAAAGCATAAAGCGTTGTATACGATGACTGCGCAATTGTACTTGTACGATCTCGAAAACGTTTAAACGTGGTTAGAACCTGAGGTAATAAGCTCTTAGTAGCGTGTCGAAAGGGTGCAGATCGGCTACCGAACAGAGAACTCGGGATTACCGAGCGATTAGCCGTGTCATTTGTCTTCATCACGTCCCCCACATGACCTCCACACCGACGTCCTAAGCTTACATAACATCAGGTCATTTTTGTCGCGAACTTATATAATCAATGGACTGAAAATTTCAATTATTACTCACACCATTAGTATAAAGAGTACATTTTGCATCATTATTCTGGGGATAATTTTATTCATAAACATATAAAATGCCAATGTTAAAGGACCCTTCGGTCAAGTACCAAAGATTTGAGCTGATTAAATTACCAAACCGTCAATGGCCAAGCAAAGACTTAGACAAGACGCCTAGGTGGTTATCTACTGACCTTAGAGATGGGAATCAGTCTTTACCAGATCCTATGTCTATTTCTGAAAAAAAGGAATATTTCACTAAGTTGATCGATATTGGATTCAAGGAGATTGAAGTTGCATTTCCAGCTGCGTCCCAGATCGATTTCGATTTCACTAGATATGCTATTGAAACCGCCCCTTCAGACGTTTCGATCCAGGTTTTGTCTCCATGTAGAGAAGATTTGATCAAAAGAACCGTTGAATCGTTAAGGGGTGCCAAGAGGGCCACGGTACACATTTACCTTGCTACTTCTGACTGTTTCCGTAACGTTGTTTTTGGAATGTCCAAGGAACAATCTGTCGAATTAGCTGTCAAGTGCACTAAATTAGTGAGATCATTGACTAAGGACGACCCAACTCAAAAAGACACTATTTGGGACTTTGAATTTTCTCCAGAAACATTTTCTGACACCAGCTTAGAATTTGCCGTTGAGATCTGTGAAGCAGTGAAGTCAGCATGGGAGCCTTCAAAGGAAAGACCAATCATATTTAACTTGCCTGCCACCGTGGAAATGGCCACTCCAAACGTATATGCCGATCAAATTGAATACTTTTCTACCAACATTTCGAATCGTGAAACTGTCTGTATCTCATTACATCCTCACAACGACAGAGGATGTGCTGTTGCAGCTGCTGAATTAGGTCAAATGGCCGGAGCCGACAGAATTGAAGGTTGTTTATTCGGAAATGGTGAAAGAACGGGTAACGTAGACTTAGTGACTTTAGCCCTTAACTTGTATACTCAAGGTATTTCCCCACACTTAGATTTCTCTGATATTAATTCAGTGATTAACATAGTGGAAAAGTGTAACAAGATTCCAATCCACGCAAGAGCACCTTACGGTGGTTCTTTAGTTGTTTGTGCATTTTCTGGGTCGCATCAAGATGCCATCAAGAAAGGTTTCAACGCTCATTCTAAGCAAATCAAAGAATCCAAAGGCAAGAGTGTTCACTGGAAATTACCATACTTACCATTGGATCCAGAGGATATTGGAAGAACCTATGAAGCTATTATCAGAGTCAATTCTCAATCTGGTAAGGGTGGTTCATCCTGGGTTATTTTGAGAAACCTTGAATTAGACTTACCTAGAGGCTTGCAGGTTGATTTCTCTAAGGTAGTTCAAGCAAAGGCAGAAATCAAGGGACAAGAATTATCTAATGAAGAATTATGTGAATTATTCAAGGAAGAATATTATATTGATTACGAAAAGGACAAGACCATTGACCAATACTACAAGTTGCTCGATTACTCAATTTCAAATTCGAAAGAAGGTGTTAGAACCATTGATGTTGACTTACAGATTAATAACGAGACTAAATCTATAAAGGGTCAAGGTAACGGTCCTATTTCGGCATTTGCTGATGCTATATGCAAAGATTTAAATATCAATATTGATGTTAAACACTACCATGAACACTCCTTAGGAGATAAGTCCAATTCTAAAGCTGCAACATATATTGAAGTCGTCTTAGATGATAAGTCCACTAGATGGGGTGTTGGTATCCACGAGGATGTTTCGCAAGCTTCATTCTTATCTTTGATTTCTATTTTAAATGGTCTTCGTAGAGCCAGAGGTGATTAAATGTGTCTGAACTCGTTGTTGGATGCTAGTTTTTTAATTCCGTGTATCTATCTTACATAGTTAACAATAAAATCTATTTTGTGTAATTTTAGGTATTGATACTCCAAATGTAGATTATAAACCATCAATCAAGATCAACAAGAACTAAGGTTCGTGTTATTATTAGAGATGACACAAGATAGTGAACTTGATTTCGCTCTGGCTTATAAGCAAATAAATGAAGCAGAAGTTCAGGCAGACAGTTTAGAGAAGATGTTGGACCAACTTGATGCCAAGATGGACTCGATATTGAAAGAGGCCGAAAACATAAATTTCAACGGTACTAATGAAACGAATAAAAATAATGAAGATAATTCAGAACCATCGAATTAGCTCAAATAGAGAAGCGAATAATATAATCTAGACTCTATTAAATTGTCTATATACTTATTTATCATTTAATAAATTTAGCAAAGATTTTTTAGAGATGAATTCCGGCTCGTCAGTTTTCAGGAATGGGTTATGTGGCAATTTTGGGTTGATTAGATTTACATTACCATCAGGGAAGTTTTCAGGATTCAATTCTGGAATGCTAATCTTTGCTGGTTTACCACTCTCAAGCCACCATTTCATAACATCGGAACTAGGCGCAGGTAATACTTTATCATCAAAATCAGCATCAAATAAAGTTAAATTATTGCTTGTAATTAACGACTCATTAATATCACCAATACTCTTTCTATAATTTTCGTATAATTCGTGAGATAAATTCTTTTTGATACTCTCGTCAATCACGTTGGCAGACATAGTAAATGTTGCATGAACAGGTCTGTGATCTGAGAATATCAAATCTGGCGTTGAATCATATGATAATTGTTTAATAATCTTATTTCTTGATAAACTTAAAATTCTGTCAGTCCAAGCAGGGATTCTTTGCTTTTCAGATGTATCATAGCTTTTTGTACCATTATCAAATTTATATGTTGGAGCAAATGTTATTTCCATCTCATCAAAGAATGGAAAACTTTCTCCATTGGCCATTTGCTTGTTTAGTTGGTCATATTCAAATATTTTAGAGAATTCCTTCTTTTCAATGAGTGGCTTTATCTGTTCATTTGTTAGTCCAACCCGGTAATTAAAATCACCTAACCAAATCACTGCATCATGATCTCTAATTCTTCTATTTTTTGAGAACTTAATTCCCTTTGCAATAGACTTATAGTTTTGATGTCTTTCGTCCGTATTACTTAGACCAGCAGCCAAATGTGACGCAACAAGACAGATTTCGGAATTAGAATAGTTAAAACTCACTGCCACAGCACCTTTGTTTGCTCCCATTCCTCCGAATCCTGTTTTTTTAAATGATCCTTCAACATTGCTTACATTTTCAATTTTGTTTTCATTAATGAATAAAAATATTGCTATGCTTCCAATCTGACCACACCAAAGGGAAGCATATTTGTTATGATTTGGATTATGTTCTTCTAATGTATTCTTTATTTTCTTTTCCCAGAAATTTCTATTTGTTGAATCTGGAGTTACCATTTTACCTGCTGTTAATTCAGTAACTTCTTGAAATCCAATAAATACTACATCATAGTCACTGGTCGTATTATCCTTTTTAGGAAAAAGCCATTCAGATATGTCTCCCTCATAACAAAGACCATTTACGTTGAAGGTACTTGCATAAATAGATATGTCTTCATAAGAACTGAACTGTTTAGCCATTTTATTTAATTCCCTTGTAACATAATCATGTATTGGATTATGTAGTTTTAAATCCACTTGATCTTGCAAATGACCCAATAATTTTAGCATTGCCATTTCGCTGGGCTTTGGATTGACAACGCTACCTAAATATTTCTTGGAAAGATGTGACTTAACTGAACTTTTAGTAGAAGAACCACTCGATGCTTGCAATTTTGATGAATTTGAGAAATAACTTGAAGTGATTTTGGACAAATACTCATCATTTTCATACCATAATTTAGCATGCTTAATGAATAAATCAGGATCTACCGCAATTCCAGTATCACGGAATGCTAATTCAATAACTTCTTGACTTATAATTTTAGAAACAAAATTTGCTTTTTTAAGACTGTCGAATGAATTTATACGAAAAACTCCTAGTTGCTTACCAGTGAAATTTTTCTTGGACTTCTCGTAAAACAACGCTCCATAATCAATTATGGAATCAACCAAAATATTGGATATATTACGAGGATTCGAAGGTGTATAGCCATACTTTCTTATTGTAGCTAAATTAATTGGCAAATCAGTATATGGCAACTTGTAATTTAAAGACATTTTTCCGTTTGCGTTTGAGGAATTATTCTTATTAGTGTTGTTATTAAAATAATCAATATGCTTTTTATAATTGTCATTGAGTTCACCTTTATAACCATCCGATGATAATAAGTTAACAATATGGACCTCACTGAACTGATTAACGAGTTTATCAAAGTGTCTTGTAAAGGCATGTTGAGATGCTTCAAATGACCTTGGTGTGGAAATCTTCTTATTCTTTTTAGACGACAAAAGCGACTTCTTGTTAGGATTCTCTAACTCCCAAAATGTTGGAACATTTCCTCTTACTAGGACATACGAGAAACAAATCTTTTTAGTATATATAATTATTTCAGTTTCAACAAAATTCGAAACATCCCCTTTATCATCAACACCCCAGTCACCAAATAAGGGACCATTTTTCATGCATGATTGCTTTGAAATAATTGTCAACAACGCCTCTTCATTTGGTGTTATAGATGTGTTGACAGTTTGGGCAAATCCTCTTGTAATAGTAGTTAAAAATCCTGTCAAATCGAATTGTAATCTATCAGGAGGTGATAATCGATTACGAAATTCAATAAATTCCGAGATCATGTAAGAATTCCACATAAACCTCTTAAAGTAAGGGGAATCCGCCATTAATGTGAATGTTGGATCATTTATATCTCGGAACCCTCGTTCTTGAATATTAGAAGTTATATCGAAATCTTTAGAATAATAAAATGCACCCAGCTCAAGCAATTTCCTTACTGATGCAGCAGGATATCCAGAAGTAACCTTTTCTGGGTCATATTGGGGTGATTGCAGGTTGGAGTTTTGTGTTTCTTCTTCATTAACCACCAACTTGTTAATTAAATAGTCGTATTCATCATTATTCAAACAATAGAAATCAACACCGGTAATCCTTTGAATATCTTCACCTATCATTGGAGATGCAATCTTTGCTTGAGCCGTTATAAATCCTAGGTAGATGTTATTATTCACATTCAAAAGTCCAAGAAACCCAAGTAGCTGTCTGTTCAGTTTGGACTTATTTGGAGTTATATCTTTATAATTACTTAACTTCAATAAATCCTTTCTGACAAACTCGACAATTACCTTGTTAGATGATAATCTTCCTTTGGAATCAACTCCTTGGCTTGATGTACTTCCATGGTGATGATGATGCAAATGCATATGGTGGTGGTTGGAATTTTTGTAGACAGGGAAAGGGTGTCTAATAATCAACGCATAGTTATTACTAACTATTATAAGTGTTCGTGGTCTCTCATTGAGGTACAATTTCATCCTATAAAGCCGATTTTAAGAAGAGTAAAATAAGTATACGTATCGAAGTGGTCCAGCTTAAAAAGGCTGTACAGTAGAGTTGCGCAGTGCGACATATATCATACTAAATGTTAGACATAATACAAACTCTAAGGGACAAGTAAAATACTTATAAGAGTCAAAATACGAAGTTACGGATTAAAGATTAATAATTGATTTAACCCAAAATATTCAGGTAACTAATTTATATATTATAAAACACATACAACGTAAATGAAGAGAAAATAGCGAAGTTTTCTTTACATATCTCAACCTTATGCAAAAAATCTAGTATGCCTTTTTCGATTTCTTTTGTTTCAAATGAGCTTCTGGAATCCATTCAGAATTGTAGGCTTTACCAGTGGCAACAGAAATAGGACTTGGGGATGATGCTTTCTTAGAAGTTTTAGCGATTGGGGCAGTTCCTTCGATATATCTCTTGCCCCAAATATCATACACAAAGTAAAGAATAGCACCAATAGTAGCGACTAAAACTGCTTCCAAAAACAATAATTGAAGGTTGAAGAATGAGATTGGTAAATCGTTGACTGAAGCCAATTGTCCTCTAGCTTGGATAAACTTTAAATCGTCGTCGACGGCAACAAAGATTTGAGGAGTCAACAAGTAGTTGTCTGCAACTAAGTTCAATTCAATCTTTTGGATGAAGCTAGCTTTTTCACCAGCAGGAACCAAAACTGGACCCACAGCTGCTGCTGTTAAGTTTGTTTTAATATTTCCATTAGCTGGGTCACGGAAAGAGCCACCAACACCAACAATAGAGATTTCCTTATCTTCGTTATTGGCCACACTGTATTCCAACGAAATGGCTTCACCGTTGGTCAATTCGGCAACATCGGTGTTTGAAATCTCTGGAAATTCCGAGATTTTGTAGTCTACGACAAAGTTAATTGATCCCGTAGCCTTTTCAGAGTCAATTGGAGCAGCAATAGCAGAAGAAGCAACAGCAACCAATGCAGTAATTATAGAAAACGATAATTTCATTTTACGGTAATGTATGATTCGTGAGAGTTAGTGGTTATTAGTTTTGATTAAACACGGTGGACATAAATAGTGGACAGTAGTAAGCTCACATGACTTTCACAATTTTTTTTCAAATATCACCAGTTTGGTAAGTAGGTCTAAGATAACTGTCAACCAGTTTATGAATATAGTATAATATCAACTCGTTAAAGGACGTCGATTTCGAGGAATGATATTATGTTGGAAAAATCTGGTTACTAGGTTGGTGTTGAGGAGAAATATTCATTTTCAATCGAATTCTCATACAGCTATACGAAGTGTACGACACAGACAAAATGAAATATCAACACCAATAGGCCTAAACTCTACACATTTGTGGCGTATATCAATACTTCAGACTAATATTTATGGTAGTAAAACTCCCAATTTTAATATAAGGTGGTACGGTACCACAAGAAAGAATAATTACTTGAAAGACGATGAAACGTTTGAAGTACCCATAGAAATAGACCCAATCGAAACTAGGAGAACACAGAGAACTCGAAACTCAGGGAATTATCAGAAAAGCATGTTGAATGAAAAAAGACTAGCTCGTACGCAAAAGAGACAAGCTCGGGAAATAGTACGAATGAAAGAAGACCTGGAATTAAAGGATAATTATCATAGACAACGGAGTACAATAGTGGAAAATTTCTCCAATCCAACTCATATTAGCGGATTGTTTAAGCCAAGACCAAAAACAATTTGGAAAGATATTTTGGAAAAAAATGAAAATCAGTCTGTGTCCACGTATAAAGACTTAGCAAATACTTTGAACAATGGTTCTAGCTTTAGATATTATGCTTCGGAAATCCAGAATACTATGAATTTAATATCTACGTATTTTGTGAATTCTATTCTTGTGGAGATTAACATACGGAAAATATTTGCAGATAGATACTTGAACAGATATCCAGATTCATTTTTGTATAGAGATTCGTTAATGAATAATATTAAGGACGAGAAGAAGAAGAATGAAATATTAAAAATCCTTGTTCAGTTATATAATAGAAAGGAAAACGAAAATCCCCAAAGCTTCGATCATTTTTTCGAAAGTTTGAACCGAAATGTTATTGAAGAATTATTGGATAAAGAAATAATAGAATCTGACAATTTTAATTCGATAGAGGTTTATAGACATAACTTCAACGTTTTTAAATCGTCACAATACTTAAATTATGACCATTCTGATACGTTAAAATTCATCCAATCCTCCCAACCAATGAAATTTAAAAGCCCGGAACAAAATAATAGTGAGTATTTTGCAAAGCTTGAACCTATATTCAACGCGTATGACAGAAATGATCCTTTGAGTCATTTAAATTTGATTGCAAATGTGTCCAGAATATTGATGACTTGTCAGGAGTTTACTCCAACTATGAGTATTTTCAATTACTTGCTTGAAAAATTTGGCCAAATAGGATTATACAATTATCAATCAGTAATTTACGATAATTTACCATCATTGAGATACAAACAATCTTTGTTGGCGACCCCAGCACAAAATTTACTTAAGGCCCCAAAAATGGTGTACCAGTTACAGGATATTATAGAAAACGATCCTAAATTTCTCAATAGCTTAATTGATTATCAAGTTGTCAGAGATGACAGCGAGTTTTTCAGGGAGTTGTTATCATTTTATAGACTAGAAGAAATAGCAGCTCATGAAAAAGTGTTATTGAAGTCAAGCTTGAAGAGTCTTGTTTCAAAATCGAGATTTTCTAGTTTTAGATCAAGCATTCCTAAATCGATATCTTTCAACTGCGAATACCCTCTATTTATTTCAGTTGACTCGATATACTCGGCAATCAAAGCTTCTATTGATTTGAAGCAGTTTGAATTTATTGATTTGCTAGTAAGTAAATTGATCTTGCATTCAGTCATGATAAATGGCACAATAAATGTTGCATTAACGTTTGGGAAACAAAATAATATCAAGACGAATGAATATTCCCTTCTAATAGCCGAAGAGCTCTCGATATTCGAATTATCACGTAATATATTCACAAAAGAATTATTTATCCTCTTATTAAGGGCATGTCGCGAGTCTGACGACGTGGGAAGGTTGATGTGGCTAACTCCCCATTTAGATTTATACTTGTCCACAAACTTGGAAGAAAGTAGAGATCATTTGGCAATCATTAAGCAATACTTCAATGATTTGATTATCCATCAAGCAGCTGACGTACCAGACATCAAAACGTTCATTAACCAAGATTCAGAAGCTCCCATCGATTCTAAATTGATCTCATCTATCCACGAAACATTCTCTCTATTCAGAATAGATGGGAAACTTTTGAAGTACGATGAAGTATTGGATTTCAGGAACACTGTCGCAGATCAAGTATGTTTAACCAGGCAAAAGATTGATAATGAGCGAGAAAATATAAAAAAACACGGTGGAAAAGTGAATTTGAACCACTATCTGGACGATCTATACTTTTACCTCAATCCAGCAGGTGCATACGGAGATGACCCTACTAAAAAAACATACAAAAGATAGCATATATATGTACATAGTGTAAATAATAGACATCTAAGATATAGTCACGTGGTTTAGTCCATCTACAATTTTTTTTTCATACAGAAGACCTGAGTTGGTACCCTATACTCTAAGCTGCAGTTAATTACACAAGCAAGTACTCATAAAGTGTCTAGGTAGACATTCATCACAAGCTCCCCTTGAAACTTCTTGCACCCCAACCAGTGACTGCTACGTACATCTGAACTCCTACCAGAATGAAATTTTTAACCACCAACTTCGTCAAATGTGCCGTTAAATCTTGTGATTCTTCAGCCGACTCCTTCCCATTACAATACTCCGAATGCCAGCTTGCACAGGAAGAACAAGATTACAATCCCGAGTTCATAAGCCACATATTGGAAAGATTGGACTGGGATGCTATCATCAAAGTTGCAGCTGATTTGGGAAACACTACGTTACCTCCTACAAAGCCAGAAGACTTGGATCCAATCATGGAGGACAACCAAGTGATATTAAAGGACTTGCACAACTTATTAGTCGAAACTCATATCTTAGAAGGAAAGATGACTTGTCGTAATTGTGGACATATTTACTACATCAAAAATTCGATTCCAAACTTTCTTTTACCACCACATTTATGTTAAAATACCTGAAACTTCGTATCATCTGTACTATATTAATTTATATACTTTAATAAACCATAAGGAACTATGAATTATCTTCTTATCTATAAGGAACATTGTAGAAGGTGTTTGGTAGTTCACGTGTATAGGAGCCCCTCAGGCTCAAATCGCAAACAAATGGAGGAATATTCCAATTGATAAGTGATTCAATAGAATAAGTTCATTCAAGCCAAGATATAGGGGGTAGATATATCAAATAAGTGGTTGTTATATTGTGTTATATCATAGAATTAGTCTATTGTGGAGTTTCTTATAAGAAACTAGTTCAAAAAATAAAATAGAACAGCGTCATTAGAATCATACATTTTGTATTTTCAAATTGAAATATAGAATAAATGCATGGACAGAAAATTGAAGATATCGAAGATCAATAAGTATGGTTAATTTATCGTCTTCAAAATTTCATATCGCAGATGCTACGGATGAGGAGATACAGCAGGCACCGTCAGACGGAAATCTAAAGAGCCACGAAGATTCTATTAATCGGAGCAGTACGCCAAAATTTGGGTCTATATCGAGATTTTTTTTCAATAAGGAACAATCGGTGTCGTCAGATGTATCTAATGCTGATTCGACGGTTAGCTCCAACACGGACAGCTTGAATCATAGTCATGGGGCCAAATTCGGTGTGACGAACAGCGACACGAAAGAGGACGAGCATGAGGATCAGAAACAACAGCCAGGCTTGAATAAATTGAAAAGTTTTTTGAGGCTTTCTTCGAATTCGCTCCTATTGTCGAATAATGCTTCGAATGATAATGGGGACCCTCATGGTCCGAAGGGAAGCGAAGCAATAACGCCAAATGCTGATTCACTTACCCCAGTACACAGCAATGAAAATAGAGGTAAGTCGAAAGATGACAGCGAAGAGAGCCATACTGGGCATAAAGATGGCTCTAATGTATCGACGAAGCAAGAGGCTACCGGCGGTATGATGAAAAAGTTCATGCTTGGCAGAAAGAGATCAGTTTCAAGTCCAACTAGTCCCAGTGTGGGGAACAGGAAAACACAACCAAGCAATCTCCTGGTCAATACCCAGGCTCTGAAGGACGTTCCAGAAATTGTTACTGAAAACACAGAAAGTCCTGTGATTTCATCTAATCTTTACTTTGCCCATCAAGGTTTACCACCTCATATTAATAATCAGACCAAGAATAATCATAATCTCGCTGCAAACGCAACTAATGAAGATGATATTTCTGTTGCTTTAAGACATAATGATTCTGTATTCTCACTTAATGAAGGAGGGGTTTTGAAGCCTCCCAATGTATACCAATCAAAGTTAACTACAAGTGACGAATCAGGATCTGAGCCCGAAGCAATACCAGAGCATACCGACTCAGGCGTCAAGACTCCAGTAGAGAGCAATTTACAGAATAAGAGTAAGTTGGAAGTTCCGCTGCAAACTTTGCCTCATCCTGGACAAGCTAGCCCTTTCCAGAAGACGTTGAGAAGAGTTGCTTCGGCTCCATTAGTTCACAGGTTACTCAATGATTCAAACACAAGGTTACCACAAACGAGGGCATATGTTTCAAACGATGATGACTTTGATATCACCGAACATATTGGTGAGTTAAAGAGTGGTAGACCTCGAACATTAAGTAGAGGTAGAATGTACTCAAGTGCTTCTACGAAGATCATGGATGCCCAAGTTAATCAAAACAGTTTCAAGAAAATTAGATTATTAGGTAAAGGTGACGTTGGTAAAGTATATTTGGTTAAGGAGAATGCGTCAAATAAATTGTATGCAATGAAAATCTTATCTAAAAAGGAAATGATCGAAAGAAACAAAATCAAAAGAGCATTAGCTGAGCAAGATATCTTGGCAACCAGTAACCATCCATTCATTGTTACCCTATATCATTCATTTCAATCAAATGATTATTTGTATTTATGCATGGAATATTGTATGGGAGGTGAATTTTTTAGAGCTTTGCAAACAAGGGAAACTAAAACAATTTCTGAAGTTGATGCTAAGTTTTATGCAGCCGAAGTGACTGCTGCATTAGAATATTTACATTTAATGGGATTTATTTATAGAGATTTAAAACCTGAAAACATTTTGTTGCATCAATCAGGACATATTATGTTAAGTGATTTTGATTTATCGAAACAATCGGAGAGTACAAAGAATCCTGAGATTTTTTTCAATAAAACATCACATGGTTTAAGCTCTAACAGTAACCACAATGGACCAACTTTAGACACGAAAGCATGTATTGATGGATTTAGGACTAATTCATTCGTTGGTACAGAAGAGTACATTGCCCCTGAAGTTATTCGAGGTAAAGGACATACAAGTGCAGTTGATTGGTGGACTTTGGGTATTTTTATCTATGAAATGTTATTTGGTACAACTCCATTTAAAGGAAGGGACCGTAAAAAAACATTCGGCAATATTTTGAAAAAGGAAGTCAAATTTTTAGAAACTCGCTCGATTTCCTCCAGTTGCAAAAGTCTAATCAAAAAACTATTGATAAAAGATGAAGCAAAGAGATTAGGTTCAAAAACGGGTGCATCCGATATTAAAAACCATGCATTTTTTAAGAACACTCAATGGGCTCTATTAAGACATCAGAAACCTCCAATGATTCCTGTTTTAAGCAAGACTAAGAAATCGGATAGAATTGAGAGGTATGATAGTGAAGAAGATCAAGCCACAGATAGCGCTACCGATATTTCGGAGAATAAGGATGTTCTTAATGATCCTTTTGCAAATTTCAGTTCTGTCACATTACATTATAATGAACTTGACTCAGGTAGTGATCAAATGGTATACAACGAAGCTGACAGCACATTATACACTAGTGTTGCATATACCATGACTAACAATTCTTCTCCAAAACCAAAAAATTTTTTAAAAAGATGATTTAAATAAAAGTTTATATAATTTCATTAGTAGTCAAAATCTGTACTATTAAAATAAATACTAGATAATAAAATTGAACGTACTATTAAAATTGTTCATCTTGGATAATAAATTTAAATTGCCCTTTATAAGCCAAACACGGTCAGCCATTCTACGATTATTTCTAAAAATTAATTATTTTAATTAAAAACTTTATATATTTTATAAACCAAATCATTGTTAAAGGAACAAATGGCCTTATGCGAAAAATTGTAATGAAACGTCTCAAGAAGATTGAATTTGAAAACTTGAAATAATGTACAGAAGAAAAATGCCGATGAAATATGAAGTTTAAATGATTAACATTCAACTAAGTCAACAACACTTAAGTGAACGGCAGAACATTGTTCAGCAATGCTTTCGTCGTATAAGTTGTAGAAATCACCAGAGTGGCATTGGTAGAAAATAGTTTGGTCACCTAAAGCTAAGAGACCGTTTTGAGTAACAGACCAACCAGCAGCGTAAATAGAACCAGCTTGTGGTGGTGGACCATCGAATTGGAATTGTCTGTTAGCAACAATAGCACCAATTCTACCCTTTGAATCAGTTAAAACTGAGCCATTTAATTGCATGCTTAAAGATTTATCAGTCAAACAAGACTTTGGAATAGTGGAGTCGGAATCGTCATCAGCCTTAGCAGAGTCAGTTTGTTGTTGGACTTGGCCGTCATTTATTTGAGAAGCAACGGAAGCAGTAGTTGGAGATTGAGAGGTTTGTTGTTGAATTTGACCGTCACCAATTTGGTTAACAACTGAAGCACTTTCAGCAGCAGCAGTTTGTTGTTGGATTTGACCGTCACCGATTTGGTTAACAACTGAAGCAGTTGAAGCAGTAGCAGTTTGTTGTTGGATTTGACCATCACCAATTTGGTTAACAAC